CCGGAAGTCAGGTAAGTACATTTTTTTTTAGTGAGATCCGCCATTAAAGCTCGACCTCTGAGCTCGAAGGTCATATTTCCGGTGTCAGCTCCCGCTGCAACTGAATCGACGAGGCAGAGTAAGGAATACAGAGGCAACGATGGTTGGTTGCCAAGTACGGAACTTCATGGTGGAAGAGGATGTCGGACATGATGAGTTTAACGGTGGAAACCTGGAGCTACATCACGTTCGGAGCGCGGTTGTACCTGGGCGAAGTGCGCCGGTGAGAACCTGGGCGACGATGTCGGCGAGATTGGGCGATGATGTCGGCGAGGGTTCGACGACGGGGAGGTGCGTCGGCGAGAGTCAGGCGACGATGGAGGTGATGCGACAATGGAGCTGCGGCGGCGAGCGGCGGCACAGTGAGAGGTGGTCGGAGGGGTGTGTGTGTACCGACGAGAGTTAGGTGTGTGTGAGAGATAAAGTGTATGTGTGTGTGCGTGTGTGTGTGTGTGTGTGTGTTTCGATGTGTGTGTGTGTGATAGAGAGAAGGGGAGAGAGAGAGAGATAGAGAAGAGTGGGGAGAGAGAGAGGTAATTAATCTGAAAGTGAGTGTGGTAGGTGGGGTTGGATTGTTTGTTTTATAGTGGGACCCACATATGCGGTTAATGGTTGGTGATAAAATGCCCTTATTACCCTTAATGACTGTATAATTTTGGTTTTTTTGCAGCCATTAGATTGTTATTTCATTCACTAAAATTAATTGAAAAAAAAATGATTCAGTGTTATTTCGTGAAGGCTTAATTGCCGGTAATATCACAACCCTACAACTTTTGGCAATTTCTACCAAACTTTTGAAATTTAGCGAGAATAACCTTGTCTTATGTTTGCAAATGCAACCCGAACCCATAATGAAATGGCGGTCACAGTTTTGCAAGCATATACGTTAATTCAACCTACGTAGACTAAGTTTCTGCTGTTATGGTATATCGAACAATGACGTGGTAAAAACCATGTAAAAAAAGCTAGTCCACGTACATAAAGAAAAAAGATATTCCACGTAATTTGTTATGTATAGCTTTCTTTTAGGGTTTTGGACGTTGTAAAATATGTCGATGTCGCGGCGCCAACAGTAGTTTACCTTGCTCTTAAACAACTTCAAGAGGAGGTAAACGACTATCGGTTCTTACACGGTGTCGGTGAAAAGCCCGTCACCTTGAACATTTGGCTCTCGGCGCCGACGGCGAACGCTGGTGTTGTCAAAGCCACTCCTGCAGCTTTTCGTCCCAATTCTTGACGGGCAGGGAGTCGATGATGTACGTCAGCTTTGGAGTCGTAGAAGGAACACAAAGTCCAGATGAACAACAGAGCCACGAGAGCTACGCCGGCTAAGAGAAACCCATCAAAGATGAAAAAAAAAAACACTACTCTGTTCCAGCCATTGTGTTTAGCCATTTGAGAATTTTAGTTGTGAGGCGATAAGTCCAAGGAACCATCCTCAAATCACGAGGAAGGAGAAATGGAAAACCGACAGGAAAATAAATTCCACCAAGTCTCGTCACTGTAATTTCTTCGGGGCAGTGCAACCGCTTGGCCATCTGGGAAATTCGGAATCAATGCATTTGAAG